TACACAAGTCCGAACTAGCTTTCCTCTACTTACCTCTTTACAACAACTGTGGGTCCGAAATATCCCAAGTTGTGATAACTAATGCTCTTGAGCAATTGTGATGTAGAAACTGAAGCTATAGTAAGACGGACGAGTTACGCGAAATTTAATCTCACATTGGTTTACATCATTAATCCAAAGGTTATATAAGACTGTGAAAAAGGTTCTATACAAATTAGTTGATTGGTAGTAAAATAACTTGATGGAATATTTCGCAGTAGATTATCAGCACTCCTTTACAAATCTTCAATGCTGTGATTGCTATACAGCTTCATTTAAAAGGTGGGTATAATATAACAGTGTGTAAATTAACTCGTTTTAATATATTTTCTCTTGCAGCTTACAGTATGTTACAATTATTTCATTCAACAGTAAGAAAAATCGTTTATATGCTAATCTAACTTGCTTAGGAAGTTTACATCTACAGCTTCAATTAAGTGCAATTTAAGTATCAGGCTTCTAAACTATTAAAGTAATAATACGTATTATCCTTAACTCTGGATAGTGTAGAATATTAGACATATTCCCGAGTTAACTTTGATCTAGCTTTGAAGCTTTGTATTTTAACTGCATTTTGATTTTTTTATCTCCAAATGTGCATGGTTTTAATCTGATTTATTTAACTTTTTATTTTGTCTGCTGTTTGACTTAAACTAAGAATGGTTTGATTTTATTGTTAACCAATCTCTGATGGTTGTATTTTTATTTAATCGAATTATGTGTATTAGACATATCACTGTTATGGCCAAATAAAGAATTTGAATTTGAAGTGGAAAATGTAGGCCTAGTACATTTGAGCCATCGGCATTGGGCTGCTGTCAGTTACTGAATTCTGTCTTGCCAAATTTCTAACCATGCCAATCTGAAAGGACAACGATGAAGAATATTGCATATTTTATGCTAAATGTATGTTTTTAATATGGGGAAACTGTACGTATTTTTAATGTTGCATTCTGCGAACCGATCATTCAACTACTTTAGAGAAAATTTGGATACAGTTAATGGTAGGCCTATCGTACACAGCATCCCACGTCTCTGAGATTATAGATAATCTTAATGATGACGGGGGACGCCATGATCAAACTGCTATTTATAATGTTACGTAGTCTAGGTTTGAATGAGAAAAGGAAAACAATGCCTATTCAGTTACCGATTAAAATCTGAATATTTACTTTTCGGATTGACACCAATTAATATTATAAATTGTGATTGTACCTAAGACTAGTGTTATGTTTCTGCGGGCACGCCCACCGAGGCCTGTACCAGGAGCCAGCCACGTGACCAGGGCGAAGCCTTATCACGGCGTTTATGGTGATATCTCGGTGATAAGCAAGGTCGCGTCACGTTTATAGGGCTGCAGACGAGGCTATAAACCTACAAACTGCCTCCAGTGCGGCCTCGGCCTCTCGACAGCGATAAATACAATAACAACTAACCAGTGAGTGATGAAAATAAAATACAATTATGTGGACAAAACGAACAAATTGACAGATAAATAATGTCACATGTTTAACATTTACAAATTATTTACTTTCGTACGAAAAATGGTTTCGAAGTTTGTTTTTAATTAGGAAACAATAATGAAATTTTGATTTGATACCGGTACTCAATTCTAAACTCTCAATTTTAAACTGGATATCATACTACAAATTGTAAATTACTTCTCTTAAATAATGTAGCCGACTAATAAAATAACTTAAACCGACATACAATAAATATAATCCCTCAAGAGGAATTCCCGGTAATGACGGATTAGTATCTTTGCCTTAAACTATTGCTATTGCTTTTTACTGTTACCGTACGATATTATAAATTAAATAAATCAATTTAATTTGAGTTAAGCACAAAGACTATGAAAGGCCAATAACTAAACTCCAATTTAAAAATAACGGTTGGTAATAAATTAATAATATTTCTGGTACTGTATTTGTAATAACGGCAGCCTTCTTCAATCTTCAATTGAAATTAATACTACTTTGAGAGCTAAACAATTGGCTACATGGCTCATTGAATGTACAACTATGAAAGCTTGGCCAACTTTCGGTTTCGAGTGGCCAAGAAATGGTTTGAGAGCGTCCGATAAGTGATTTAGCGCAGGCTCTAGTGGCGTAACTAGAAGTGTTATTCATCACTTTTAATTTTAACATGGGTTTAACTTTTTAGGTAGGACTACGTATATTAATATAATAGTTAATGAGTTAAACATATTAAATCGTGCACGTACAAGTTATGTTCAACGATATAAACAACTCAACGTACAGTAGTTATTAACATCGTTGGTTATGTTATGATGATATCAAATAAATTTCAGCGCTACCGGAAATTATTAGTAGGCTAAATAAAAGAGGATACAACATGCATTTTTCATTCTCATACAACATATTAATAGGCCTACATGCAAATGGAAGAAAACAACATGTTTAAAAATATTATTGTAATTAGTTAATTTGATAATCAATTTTTCCGTCATATATTTGTATTAATATATATATATATATATACTAAAATATTTATAGACCAACACGAGTTCTTGACAGAAAAAGTCTTTTCCAAAAAAATTTCTAAAATAAAGACGGGCAATATTACTTAATAGGCCTACATTATTTTTTTTAAAGTAGCCTATCATTTTAAAATCCGTTATGAAATAATTTAAAACAGTAGGGTACGGTACTATGTAATTTTAACACTTTATATTAGGCCTACACTACAACCAATTGACATTTAAAACTGTGCAGTTTATTTTTAGAAAAAACGTTGTGACGTAGGTCTAACGAGCCAAACCTTGCATATAAAATAAAATTATTGACTGAGTTTTGTCAAAGACTAAATTAGTTAACCTGTTCGAATTGAAATTTTCGGTTGGTGAATAAATCGGTTAGAATAAGTTCTCTTAATTACTAGTAAATTAACTTGTTTCACACCTTAATAAAACGAATAAATTGGACTTATTTAATAAGTAGGCCTAACTGATAAGGGCGGTTAACTTATCAAAATAACATTAGCTTAAATGATATAACTCATAAACTATTACTGTAATTATGACACAATACGTTCTTTCAGAGTCTATCAAGATTTATTACCCTTAATAAAGCATATTAAAAATAATAGTTGGTAATCTATATATATAATACGCTAAGCCGATTTTTGTAAACAGAACTCCTCCCTCATTTTTAGACCGATTTTGATGATTAAAGTGTCAAATGAATGGCCCTGATCTGTAGTTTTGCAAAGTCTTTTTCGTTTTTTGAAATCTTTATTAGTTTGGGCAGGATCCTCCACCAAAGTTGGATTTTCTCCCATAAGATTAACATGGGGGAATCTAAATATTTAATTGGAAACTTTGTCTCCATGAATTTGAGAGAACGACTGGGCGTAGAAACTTGGTAGAGGTGTCCAAAGAAAGGTCTTGGTCCCTAGATGAGTTACCAAAATAAAAACTAAGTGAATCCCGTTAGGGCTCTGCCCCAGAAGCCCTTAAAGATCCCTCCACAGATTTGTTTACATTTTGTCCATGTGGATAATACTTTTTAATGAAACAGCTGTTAATTTAAAATTGTATTTTAAACAACACACATTTATTGGGAGTTACTGAATTGTCCAAAAGAAGTATTTGCAATGTTATTTTCTGATTTTAAAATTGATTTTCTTCTGTATCATGTCATATTTTGCAATATAACGTTCCATTACGAAATCAGTGGAAAATCCTTTTATCACAGTAACTGTTATTTAACAATTATTTCTTATTGAACTATCTTATATCTATTGTACGGGTTGGTGTCTGTCTTTTTCACCACTTTTGGCTATATTTTGTCATACTATAAGATTATTGCCATACATGTTTTAAATCATTGGAAAAATCTTCGATTGTGTAATAAAATGCAAAATAATACAAGTGCAGAAGTGTCTTATTAGCTTCAACATCCCCCCAACCAATTTCCCAAAACTATGCTTGAGGGTTATTTATTGGCACAGAAGTACGATATGAACTGACGTGACGTGACGAAGGAAAAATCAAACTTGCACTGCAACGGATGGACCTCCCTTTTAAAGTCAGAACGTGTCTTTTCAATAAACAGATATTTTTCTCCAATAAAATCATAGATTAATCTTTATTAGACAGATGAAATCGCGGAAGTTTTAACTACAAAAGATCCACCAATATGATTTTAATACTATTTAAAGGTTCTTCTAAAAGAAGATGTACCAGTTAACATACTAATAATAACTCCGATGATGTACAGTATGGGAAATATTTTATTCATTGAATGATCAACCATATTTGGCAACTAACGCAATTAATATCATTATTGTTTTTACACTTATTACTCTTTAAACAATGCTAAATGCTCAAAATATGTATAATTTCACTCAATTTGTCGCAGTTATATCAGTTGCAAGCCTTGAAAGTAACCGTCGATTTCGACGGGTTTCACCTAGTAAATTAATAAAAGACCTATTTATGGCTAAACAAAATCACCATTGGTTGTGTAAACAATAAAATTGTTCCTTACTTGACTAGTCCTACATATTGTGCTCTTTTTTAAATGAAAGGGTGTAGCTATTACTGTGTATCCAGAAATGTTCGGTTTAATCATGACTAATACTGTAGTTCTAACTGTCACTGTACACAGCTGACGAAGAGTGCAATGCACATGTTGACAGTAAACATTGCAGATAAGGTTTCCATGAGACGACTTTGACGTGGTTTAAACTGACAATCGAGGCGCCAGCGAGTCGCGGTCTGAGATACGCGGCGGCAACGGCGCTCTACATTCTACACTCTCAACTACGCTATTTTATAGTTAAAAACCTTTTTTTAATCTTCAATTTAAGAAATATTTTTGGTGCCAGGCGTACCGCGAGGTTTAGCTACAATTACTTCTACTTCTACACACACTGATATAGGCATACACTAACGAAGAAAGTATTAAGTATATAGTATTAATAGAATCAAATGTTACCTTCCATCCAGCAGAGCTGTTGCTGTCCCCCTTGTCCTTGAAATAGGGCACGTTCTGCACCATCCACTCGTATATCTGTGACAACGTGAGCCTCTTTTCCGGCGCCGAGCTGATGGCCTGGGTGATGAGGTCCGCGTACGACAGGTTGCCCCAAGCGTTCCTCCTGCTGGAGTTCTTTTTGAGCGCGGCGGTGGCCGACGGCACCACGGGTCCTCCGATGCCCAGGATCTTCTGGTCCAAGCCGTCACCTACCTCGCACTTGATGTTGGTCGGCTCCTCTACGTAGTTCTCCGGTCTAGGCAGAGGCCACGTGTTGGACCTCGCCCTGGTTTGAGGCTCGAAGCCCATGTCTATCTCGCTCATAGGCGGCTCCATCATCTTACACTAGAATCACTCGGTCACAATCACAGCCGACGATTCCTTCAATTTCACTACAATTGGAATAATAAATGTCTCCCACGTTAACACACCGACGCGCGTTCGCCGTCTAATATTCTAATAGAGTCGAAGGAGAGCGCCAAAGTGTTATCCGTCATCACAAGGTCACCCGCTCGTAGTCTACTGCGACGGCACCAGGCACCACGTGAGTCCAGCAAACTGCGCGGAAATAAACAATGTTTTATTATACGTATCAATTGACGCACCACGGCTTGATTCACCCCGAGTTACATAATTAGTACCATGTCACAGATCGTACTCGCCGACGTGGGTTATGCGTGAAATACGTCGTAGACCGGAGAACAAACTGACGCGACCTACCCGAACCGAGTGTTGCCACCTTCTGAGCTCCGCGAGCGACGCAGTTAACAGCTGACCGTGACGTCATGCGGCCGCGCATGCGCATATTGCCTACTACACTACTACACCATTGTTGTACTCCGCCGCGCCGCGCCGCTGCCGAACAGTTTAAATGCTAATATAATTGCACGCAATTCTCATTCTTATTCTTTCTTCTTCCACGTGTTTGAATGGTTAAAAAAAGAAACTCCGGTTCAATTCAACAACTGTATTAATTGATATGTTTCTTCAGATTACTTTCCTCACCATTACGTCCATACACATCAGAAGTTAGTCAATGATGGATAATGAATTTAAACAAAAATCCACCAATAAACAAATAAGTAAACAACATAACCGACGATAGTTGCTTTGAGTGTATCAATTAAAAAATCTATATACGGGTATGTATACACACACATATTTAATGCGCCATTGGCTTTGAGTGAAAAATCCATCAATGTAACCTCCCTATTCTTACTGTGGTTTATCACTAATTGGCTACTGTCACAGTTAGTTATAAAGTTTTTTGTGTTATTTTGTACATTAAACTTACAATAAATGTGTAAGAGTGGTCGTTATCTTAAATGACTCTTATTACAAACTTTTAGACTTTACAACACTCTTTTAACAACTATTTTTTATCTCTCTCCTTTAAACGCTATCGCATGAGTCTTATTACATTCAAATGTGATTACCAAAATAAAAGTCTAGTTTATGTCATTCTGAAAACTGTTTTCTTCGAGGCATTGATATATTCATTGTAATAGTTTAGCTCATTCTGTTTATAAACATATAGCTATTTATTTGACTGCAATTTACACGAATAGCTCTACACGTTTAATTTATATCAAAGGCTTATATTATTTATACAATGAAAATGTTTAAACGCTGTCGGTGCATAAATGAGCTCGTAATTTCAAACGAAACACCTACAGTCTACTTCCTCGTTGGACACTCTGTATGTTTAATATTAGAATAAGTATTATTGGTTTTAGCTGTGTTGAAACTTTAAACACTTTCAACGTTTAAATTGAAAACAGCTAAAAGTACAAAGTGTTGCGTGTCTTTATACTGGACACTTCACCTAGGTTAAAACACACAATTTAAATGTACTAGCTTATTAAAACACAGTTTTACTTAACACAATGAGTCTGTTAACCTCACTATAAAACATGCCACATTCCATTTGATTGATATCAAAAAACCGGAACGTTTATTTTTGAGTTGTTTGTGTTACAACGCAGTGTTGCCATCTGGTCAAAACATAATTATAACGAAACTTGATTAAATAATATATATATAACACTTCCCTCTTTAAACATTTTGATCAGGCTGCTTCACCATGAGTGCTTTTATCTTACAAGAATGTGAAAGTATCGGAGGACCGAGCCATGCACAGAGGAGGTTTAATTGTTTGGTTGGTTAAAACAATTTATAAAACGGACTTTCGATCCGTTCTATTAGTCCTACTAACGCAACATATTTTTTCAAATATTTTTCATCTGAATTTATTTAAAACACATCACTCGCATTAGAGTATAGGGAAATTAATGGCGTACAAAACTGACAATTTAAATCATTAAAAAACTAAGCCTATCTATCTGAGGAAAATGAATGAAAATGTACAAATTACTTTCAATTAAAATTTAAAAAAACTACTTATTGTTAGATCTATTACTAAGAAAAATGATCATTAGCTACTGATTTATTTTGTGCGTTATTTCGACTACGTAATTGTGAACAACGTATCCTGATTTTTATTTTATAAAAGTACACATTTATATAAAATCAAATCCAATCAAAATATACTTTATAAAAAAATAGAACAGTATAAAATATAAACATACACTTCCAGTGAAACAGACAGACACCTTACTTGCTATTGCATAAAATAAAATAATAGTAATAATAATAATACATGTAAACTTAATAATAATGTCAAATAATAATATGTTTCATAGAAAGCGATGTTAATAAACATTTAGGAAATAAGCCTACTTGGGCTGGAAGCCTGTGCGTAGGCTCAGTCGTTATCAGTGACTTGTAGCATTCTTATGGTCAAAGGCGCTAGACCATGTCCACTGTCCAGTGTGCACTTATAATATGTCCCATAAGTTTTGTTGCGGGCCTTTGTTTAACACCTATGAGAGCTAAAAACAACAATAGTCGCCGAATCGCTAAATCATTTGCTAACTATTGTATCTGTTGTTTGAAATCGAGCAATTAATTGTCAACTACCTGTATTACCGTGAGTTATATTAAAACTAATAACAGTCATAATTTTCAATGAGTTTTAAATGCTCAACTAAAAGCTTATGTAAATAATGGAAATAATCACGCTATTCATAACAGTTCGATATAATCAACATTTCTTGAAAACCTTGTTTTTAGTGTTTTCCAATGATGCACCCTATATAACCTGGTGTTTTCCGACTCACCGCATAAAGTTGTACATGTTTATCTTCATAATTGATACAGTAGCTTACATGGTTCCACCATTGTCCCCAGTATGTTTACAAAATGCAGACTTTTTTTTAAGTGATAACAATTTTTCAAATTACTACCCGATGTCCTGCATAATCTGTCCGTCACAATTTCCTTCAAATGACAGTGTTTTGGTTAGTTGACTTTTAACTTTAAAATCACTTCACTTTTATAGAAACAAAGATTAAATATCCTTGAAGTACTAGATTTCCTTCGCCTTAGGGTGTTCCTCTGCAATGAACACAAAGTCCATGGTCCTTCAAAAAATTGTAGCACTTCGGCTAACATTTTTGTTTACCGTTTGTAGGAACCAAAGTTGTTGGGTTCTTCATCATGTAGATTACTAATGGGAAAAAATTCTTAATACAACATTATTTCTATTCCTTATACTTGGTGGCGATCTATGACTTTTCTATGTCTCCATAATTTGCAAATAGGTTATTTCAATGCTATTTTAATGCTCAAGAAATTCAGTACTGCGACATTTCAGTTTTCTTATTTGGTGAAATATATCAAATTGCCTAGGCTTTCTAACTGCTGTATGTCCGCTGAGTTGGGCTTTGTAATATATTTTGGAGGTTTGTAAAACTATTTAGTTCTGGCATTGACAAAGGTTCTAGGTACAACCACGCATAAATAAATGCTGTCTTAACAGTCACTTGAAATATAAGGTTAAAATTTGTATATACAGTATTCCCTTTGCCAAGTTGAATAAGTAAACCACCAGAAGAGTACAATGCAGCATCCGAATCATATTTGCTGAGTATCACAGTATTAATATTGAGTAAAATGTAACCTATTTATTTATTTAATGACTACCTTTACTTTTAAACTATTCCTGTTTTACTACAAAGCACCCACCAAATGAAGAAAATCATATAGAAACATAAAACAGTATTAATCACAATTTTCACAATGCACGTCTATTTATAATACCAAATCTGTTATATGGATCGAGTTAATGTAATTTCATCATATCGACTCCTAGAATTGACCTTGACTCATAAATAACGAATAGCCCAATTAAATAGCAATCAAGACAGCTGGAATCGTTAGGATTAGTGAACGGTGAGTGACGGAGGGAGAGAGGAAACTCTGGTATTATCTAACAGCCTCATAAAGAGTCATCAGGAGTTAAGTGAGTGAAGATTCCATATCACCACCTCTCTCGGTGTTGGCACATCCAAGCCAAGCGACTCAATTTTAAATGAAAGATGTTTCCCTGTGAATGTGCAGAATCCCTTTATAAATTAAAATATGCTCAAAATTAAGCACAAAAAATAATTTAAAATTAAAAATAATTGAATTTACATGGGTCTTATGGGTTACCATGTTGGTGACGAAATAACAATAAAATATAAACAAAAATCAAAACAAATGGAAGAAATTACAATCACATGTTTTATTTACAGCGTTGGGTGAAAATAGAGAAGTTTGCACAATACATAGTTTTGGTCAAGTTTTCGACCACGGGACGAGCTCTCGTTGATTACTATCAGTATCATCTAATCAGCTGAGTTACCAAACCTACTATATTACGCTATATAGTACATTATTGATGCCCAAAATAGGACCAACACATCACAACATTTCAAAATCAATTCCGAATAAAATAGCCTATTTCAATGACAACCTAATGTATAACAGTTTTTTCGTCGATTAAGTCTTTTGAAAGTTTCTGGAAAATATGATTGAGTCGCTATTTAACAGCATAACTTTACTACATCTTTTTCTCAAATAATAATAAACAGATTGATGATGGTTTCAGAAGATCTTTCAGCTTGAGCTCAATACAATATTTTTATTTAAAATTAGCACGATTTAGAGCGATCTATGTTCAAGTATTGCAGTATGCATACCAAGTCGGAAACCTGCAGCAGGTACAGTATACAGGGTAAGGCATTAGGTAGAGTATTAAGTGTAAGGTGTAAGGTGCAGCAGGTACAGTATAAAGTGTAATGCATTAGGTAGAGTATTAAGTGTAAGGTGTAAGGTGCAGCAGGTACAGTATAAAGTGTAAGGCATTAGGTAGAGTATTAAGTGTAAGGTGTAAGGTGGTAGAGTTCCCACGCGTTTCAATGACAGCCCAATTTACCGGCCCAATAAAACACATCGAGCCGAGCCCTTAGCAGCGCTATCTGTTACCTGGACTGACAAGGGAGATATGCTGGGGTCAGGGTCACTATTGAGACCACACTTCTTACAGGAGGCTTGACCAAATACCCACACACCAGGATATATCAATCCTTCAATGTGTTGACGAGTTTGCACTCCTTAAAATGAGCTGAAGCTAAGTTTATAATGAACCGTTCTGCGTCCGATAGGCCCAAGTGCCGTTTGACTCCCCAGAGCGTAAGAGTGATTCAGGGTAGGGATATTAGTGGTAGGGGTGTAGAGGACAGTATGTAATGGAGTTCGGGTACAGTTTCTTAACTAGGCTACCCTAACATCGATTGCAAATTAATATCGATTCGATTAGTAAGTCTCTATTCAATTTTTTCCAGCAA